AAACCATTTCAGGTGACTACCTCTTGAAGCTCATCGAGAGAATGCCAAGAGTGTGCAAAGCAGTAATCAGAGCAAAGGGTGGCTATTTTGAAGAAACTAGAATATAAAACATGTTTTCAGTTATTTCACCTTTTTTTGTTAAGTACATAACTCCACATGTGTTCATTCATAGTTTTGATGCCTTCAGTGCGAATCTACAATGTAAATAGTCATGAAAATAAAGAAAACGCATTGAATGAGAAGGTGTGTCCAAACTTTTGGCCTGTACTGTATATATATACACACACACACACACACACGTGTTGTTTTTTTTTTTTTTTTACATATTGCAATATGTTTTGTTCAGATTCAACACCCATTGCTACACCAACAACAGCTGCAACAACAGTAACTGTAACAAGTCAGTTGTTTGGAAAAAAATCAATAATTTAGGCAAAATGTGTTAAATTTAGTAATACCGTAAAGTTAATGACTTGGGCTCAAATAATTATTAAACTGTTTCTGCAGACTCAACACCCCCTGCTATAACAAATCAGGCATTGTTAAAGCTTGTTAATATTTAATATTCATTTGAAATTATTAAGTCATTTTTCCTAACTTGAAAGATTTTTGCTCTACAGCAAACACACACAATTGTATTTATTGTTTTTCCAGATTCAACAACAATTGCTACAACAGTTGCCACAACACCAATGACAACTTCAACAAGTAAGTGCTTAAAAATAATAGTCACAACATAAAAATGTGGTGTGAATTACAGTAATGAATCTGGGCTTGAATGATTTAGTTTTTTTTGCAAATATATACATGATCAGAATATTATTGATCCTGACTGAACATCTCTTTTCACAACACATCTTAATGCTGCAACACTCAAACTACACCAAGAAGAGTTACAGTGGCCTCCTTGCTAATAACATGGTAGTTATACCATGGTACACAGTAAATGGTATTTGGTATTCACACTTAACATACTTGCAGTGCAGTGAATGTGTAGTAAATAAGGGATAATGTATAATGAGCCGGTGAATACTGGGAATACAGACAGGGGAATTCCCCTGAAGGGAGTTGTTTTCCCAGTATTCACTGGCTCATTATACATTATCCCACTTATTACACGGCTAATTATCAGTTAAATAAATAATTTGAGACAGAATATTGATTAATTATATGATTTTTATTGATTTATAAATTATATCGTGAGGAGAGACAAAAAACTGCCGGCAACGGCTGAATCTACGCTGCAATAGCTACAGGGAATCAAGAGAAAATGAAAAGCAGCATCCCTAGCAACGCTGGGCTACATAGCAATGGTCATTACACAGTAATATCAGACCTCTGAATGCTGTGACTGTCCAATCAGAATACAGCATTTAATAGAGCTGTGTAATAAAAGCAAGTCATCTGGGCTGGAATCATTTTGGCTTTTACTGTCAGCTGTAACATTGTTATAAAATGGTCTTTATGAAACCAGCATCTCCACTAACAGCTATTACTAGCTGATGGTATTCAGGAAGAAAGCACTCATATAACTCTTCCCTGGTTGACATTTGTTAAAAAACTTTGTGGGATTAACTTTTTTAATCTTCCAGTTCATAATACATGATTATAAAATTGTCTTTATCAGATTCAACAACAGTTGCTACAACACATATGAACACAACAATACCTGTAACAAGTAAGCATTGGAAAAATAAGAATTGTTACAGCATTAAAAGGTAAAAACTAATTGACGCTTGGGATATTTATTTTTAATTATATAAATCACCCTCTTAGGGTGGTATCTGTATCATCCTCAAGCTCTGGTCCTCTACTAAAGGCCTGGGAGTTACAGGGTTCTGCGCAGTATCTTAGCTGTTCCTTGGACTGCACACTTATGGACTGAGGCTTCCGATGTTGTCCTGGAATCTGCTGGAGCCACTCTCCCAGTTGCGGGGTCACTGCCCAAGTGCTCCTACTACCATGGGGACCACGTCAACTTTGACGTTCCACATCTGTTCCAGCTGTTCTTTCAACCCTTGATACTTTTGCACTTTTTGTGTTCCTTCTTTGTGATGTTGCTTTCGGCTGGTATCGCCACATCTACCACCATTGCCCTCTTCTGGTGTTTCACAACCACCACTATGTCCGGTTGGTTAGCCAGCAGCTGTTTGTCAGTCTGGAAGCTGAAATCCCACAGAATCTTAGCCCTGTTGTTCTCAACCACCTTCGGTCGCATGTCCCATTGGAATTTGGGTAGTTCGAGTCCATACTGGGGACAGATGTTCCTGTACACTGTCCCAGCCACTTGGTTGTGCCTCTCCATGTATGCTGATCCTGCTTGCATGTTACACCCTGCCACTATCAATCAATTCAATCAATTTTATTTATAAAGCCCAATATCACAAATCACAATTTGCCTCACAGGGCTTTACAGCATACGACATTCCTCTGTCCTTAGGACCAGCGGATAAGGAAAAACTCCCCTCAAAAAAACCTTTAACGGGAAAAAAAACAACTATGTGCTGGACCGTCTCAGGTGCATCTTTGCACAGCCTGCACCTTGGGTCTGATCTGCTGTGGTAGACCCTGGCCTCTATGGCCCTTGTGCTTATGGTCTGTTCTTGTGCTGCGATGATTAGTGTCTCTGTACTGTCTGTCAGTCCAGCATTGTCCAGCCAGTGGTAAGTCTTCTTGATATCAGCCACTTGAAAGATTTTTGCTCTACAGCAAACACACACAATTGTATTTATTGTTTTTCCAGATTCAACAACAATTGCTACAATTGACCTGTGAAAAGTAAATACCACTGACTTGTGAGGGAAATGTCCTGTGACCAGCCTAATTCCTGACTGTGGTATGTACCATGTAGGAGCTACACCTCTTCGCTCTCATCAGGTTTCTGTTATCTGAGGCATTCACTTAGAAGCTCATCCTTTGGGGCCATCTTCTTGATGTATTCCTGGATTTTGGATGTGTCATCCTGGATAGTGGCTCTGATGCTCATTAGTCCTCAGCCTCCCTCTTTCCACTTAGTGTATAGTTATATATAGCCTCGGGGTGCTGGACTTGGGGTGGAACCCTCTATGCATGGTGAGGCGCTTTCTTGACTTGATATCTGTGGCTTCTATCTCCTCCCTTGGACAGTTTATGATCCTGGCAGCGCCTACATGTTGATGGCTCGGACATTGTTCTGACCATTCAGCTGACTTCTCAGGACTTGCCTTTCTCTCTGGAGGTATTTGGTTGTGGTCGACTTCCTTGCAGCCTCCTTATGATTTCCATTAGCCTGCAGGATCCCAAGGTTGCAGCTGTCCTGGATATCTTGTATGTTGTCCTCTGGTAGGTCAACTCCTTCAGTACTGACCATCCTGCCTCTCTTTGATACATCCGATCCGATACTTAGGTATTTAGAAATATGTGTTGAGATTTGTCATTTATTTTAACTTAAAGGATTTCAGTTTTTTACTGACAATGTGTTCTTTTCTGTTGCTACAGCAGCTGCAACACCAGTAACAACTGCAACCTCTACCCCAGCTCCAACCACAGCTCTCACAACAGCAAGAACCACCAAGGCTACTACCACAACTATGATGGCATCCACCAAAGCCACTACCAGGGTTACTACTACTATTTCCCCCACCACTACCCCCACAACTGCTACTGGTAGCAGTGCCCCTTCAACAACCAGGGCTTCCACTTCTACACCTGCAATAACAACCATGCCTCCTACTACAGCTGCTACAGGTATGGTTTCATTGACAAGAGTGGGGTAAAGAGGCACTACAGACTGCTTTATGATCACTAACGATATATTTATTTGTTACCTTAAAGGGATAGTGCACCCAAAAATGAAAATTCAGCCATTATCTACTCACTCATATGCCGAGGAGCCTCCGGTGAAGTTTTAGAGTCCTCACATCGCTACCAAGGGGAGATCCAAGGGGAGAGGGGGTAGCAGCACAACTCCACCTAATGGAGGCTTAAGGCGCCCCAGATTCAAACGTCCAAAAACACATAATGTATCACATTACACATAAAATATCTCCATACTGCTCGTCCATAGTGATCTAAGTGTCCTGAAGCCCCGACATAAAAAGTTGTTGGGAAAAATGTCATTTGAACTCTGTTTTTAGCCTCATTGTAGCCTGTAGCTCTAACTGCTTCTCTGTACACCGCACTCATGTGTGCACTTGCAGAAGACCCTGAGACACGGGCACCGCGTTCACAATGAGACTAAAACCAGAGTTCATTTCCTGAGAGGAACCGCCCACTGGGGAGCACCCTCAAGAATTCCGTAGCTTCAAGGGCTTTTTATGCCTCTGTGCCATTGATAGTCGTGGCCAGAGGCATTATGTTTTTGGGTTGTCTATCTGTCCTGTTCTCATGAACATATTTGGCACAAGTATCCACTTGGACTTAACGATGAAGTGATTAAATTTTAGTGGTCAAAGGTCAAGGTTGCTGTGACCTTGTGTCCACTTAATTTTCATGAATGCAACATCTCAAGAGGGCCTTGTGGGAATTTCCTCAAATTTGGCACAAATACCCAGGTGGACTCAACGATGAACTGATTGGATTTTGGTGGTAAGAGGTCATGATCACTGTGACTTTAGGATAAAAGGATAAGGTGATGACATTTTATATCCAAAAGGTCAAAGGTCTTGTTCACTGTGACATCACAGAATTTGGAAAAAGCATTTTTGTGGCCATTGATCAACATCATAACTCAAAAACAGAAGTGGAGACATTTGGTCAGACACTGGATTGGTGACACTAATCCTGGGTGCCTACCTTGAAACTGTGCTAAATGTATAGATCTTCTGTGCTGTTGGGGAGAAGATGTGGGAGAAGCATCAAATATAGTCTAGAATATGCAGTTTCTATGCAGCAACATTTGTAGCATTGTCAACTGTCATGGCTACATTTAAGTCTGGACAGACATGGATATAAACCGTAAGTGCAACTTGACTGGTTTACAGAGGCATACAACCGGCAGTAATTCTAGCTTTCTGTGTGCATTTGCACTGCCAATACGAATAAACCTGGATACGAATAAACCCCGATGAGCAGAGTCTGGTGAATCACCATCGGACCAATCAGATCAGTCTATCTGACAGAGGCGGGCTCTGGGCAGGCATAACATGATGAGGACAGCGCTGCGCCGTAGGAGTCGAAAAGTAAACTGCCAAGATGGCAGCTGTCCATTCAATTTACCCTTGGAAGAAACGCTAAGCCAACTACACTCATCTTTTTCCTTGAGAGAGGAACAGAAGACTGCCCTAGAAGCCGCTTCCAGGAAGGAAGTTTTTGCCATTTTGCCGACGGGATACGGCAAAAGCATAATATATCAGTTAGCCCCACTGGTCGGCAAACAAATGGGGCTTAGTGCAATGAATACGTCACCTTTTTTTTTTGCTCTGATTGGCTATCATGCTATCCAACTGCGTGCGGCGGCATTTAATATGCCTCAGTTAGTGCCGCCCCTTGGGCAGAGATGGGCAAAAATACATCATACATACATACATACATACATACATACAAAATTCAAAATACCCCTCAAATAAATGTATCAAAATAAAATACAAAATACTGGTGCCAGAAAATGTATCCAAATGAAATACATGTATTTTGTTTTTTCAAATACAGAAAATACTTTTTTTCTTTTTCTTTTTAGCAGCAACCCACAGCTCTATAGGTCACTCTGTCGGTGGGTGGGTTGGTCGGTCGGTCCACAAAGCTTTTCGTGAATAACTCAAAAAGTCCTTGACCAAAATTGCTCAAAATTTGCATACTGCAACTAGAGACCATGAGTAACCATACCAGAAAGAATGCCCATGATTCATCCATAGGTGGCGCTATACTAACCGATTCAAATCTTTTTGTGAATAACTCAAAAAGTCCTTGACCAAAAATGCTCAAAATTTACATGCTGCAATGAGAGACCACAAATAACTATGCCAGAAAGAACAACCATGATTCATCCATTAATGGCGTGGTAGTAGCAAATTTGGCCGCAGCTATTTGCGCTTGTTTTCTCACAATTTGGTATAGCAGAGTATTCAGGTTTGAAACAGAAACACGGGCTATGCACTAGCCCAGACAGCATGCTAGCGTTATTAGCATGTTAGCATTGATTGCTAGCTTTGCCAAACACTGGCTATGCACTAACCTAGCCAGTTAACATAAGCATCGCTAACTTGAGAATACAACTATCATCACCATGTTTATTGTTATACAATAAGCTATGTAGCCAGACCCAGACATAAAACATACATCAAGCCAGTTGACATCTGTCACACTGTGAGCAGCACCTGCAGCATGCCTGGCAAGTCTAGTCTAGCTGTGCTGTGAACGGTCTCGCCAAACTGCAGCAAGATACTGTAGCTAGTGAACTTTGCTGTCTAACCTGTAGCCTTTGGAGCCCTGTGTTCAACTTTTTTTAAATGAAAGAGAGAAATAAAAGCTAGGGACATGTAGGCTACCCTAAAATATTTTTTACTGATTCAGATTTAGATTCAGACAACTTTATTGATCCCATATGCGGCAATTCATTTGTAGCATACTCATCCCAAGCATCAACCACAACAACATACAATTTCCTTATTGTTATGCACAGTCCAGCAAAACAGACCACTAGATCATTGAAGGGCACATTAAATGGCCCAAGTTTAAAAAACATATCAAAATGTAAAAAATATTGTTACATCCATTATTATAAGAATGTGTAGCCTATTATTTTTGTTTTTTGATTGGTGGAGAAAGTATTTTGAGTATTTTAAATACAAAATTACTCCACTCAAAAGTATTTTGTTACAAATTACATTTGCTTTTTATCGGCCTTGTCAAATACAAATTACAAAATACTCAAATGTAATTGAAAAACGTATATTAAATACAAGTAATAGAAATACTGCCTATCCATGCTCTTGGGTAGGAAGGGTGAAGGGGATAGGTGAGGGCCAGACTCAAAGGCCTCTAGTTTCCTGGCGCGGCGCAGGGTGGCGAACCCTGCGCAGAGCTAGTTTTGAGCAGTGCAACCCAAGGCGCGCTCAGTTTGGTAGTTTGGCAGACTGAGGTTTGCTGAGATGGGTGTGGCGGCGCAGCAGGGAGAGGTGTCGACAGATCCAGCTTGGAGCAGTGACAGTTTCGTGCCAAAAGGCTTCGCCAAAGGTGCGCTAAAAGCTCGCCAGCTGAAACCAGGTCTACTGTCAGCGCAGGCGGAGCGCAGACGATGTAAGTGGAAGTTTGGCTGACTGGCGGACAGTGCGCACACATCACCAAAACCTCACAGGCAGGTTTCCAGGATGTCAGGCACATTAACAATACAATAAATACCCACACAAACTACTATTCAATGCAACTATCTGCAATCAGCACAAAATGTATCTCTATATCGACTGTCCTGTCACATCTGATGTCAGATCAAAGTTTGGCACATTTGGCACGCGTAATAGAAACCCAACCTGATTTGATTAACACAGCTGCAAACTTAAAAAGCTGAGTTCACATCCCTCTCAGCCAACCACAAACAGCCACAGCATCAGACAGGGAGTATATATTCAGCATCTGTCATCTTAGAAAAGTCAAAAGATAAGAAACAGAGTTAGACTGCGAGAGAGAAAGAGAGAGCCCGTGGAGGTGTGCTCGCACTTCCGTATATTCGGACACTGCGAGCTTGGACCTCCCGGACCAAAACATCAATTTCCTCCTGGGAGAAGTTTGGCCGTCTGACACTGCTGCTCTCTTCTGCCATAGTGAATTGAGTAAACTCTCATTACACCTTCACGCGGCGCATTTAAGGGCGAGGAGAGGGGCTCATTTGATTGGTGTGATGTGAATCGGCTGTGTGTTAAACCCACTCAACGCCTTCTCTCCTCCCTCTTTCCGACTTGCGCAGGTAGGAGGGACGGAGGTGGGAAAGAGTAGTAGCTGCGCCAGCGCACACGGTGTGCCAAACTTGCAAAATCCGCCTGGCCACACCCAGTTGGCGAAGCTCAGGTTCCAAAAGGTGGCCAAAATCTTTCGAGATTTGAGTCTGGATTTCAAGGCTAAATACGAACGTTAAAGTGATGTAAGCCAGCCTGCAGTTGGTATAACAAGGTCACTTTCTTTTTAACAAGTCTAATTTGCATTGTATTTCCCTTGCCACATATACGCTCAGTAAAGCCTTGACTTCACTGTTGGAACAGTCTGTGTTTTGTGTTGTCTGTAGTTTACATAGCTAACAGTTTATTTTTTTTAAAAGGTGGGGTTTGATCAATCAGTGTACACCTAAGTCACTCAAGGTTCCTCTTTTACTGGGAGAGTTCCTACTCTGACATAGGTGCTAAAAAAGTCCTTGAAAACTATTCGTTCCAACTTCTTGCAGTGCAGGCACAATAAAAACCGGGCCTCTTAAAAAGTTTCTCTGGTTCAAAAATGCTAAAGTAAAAACATTATTAACATTATGCTGTAATGCAGGTGGTGTCAAACTAATTTTAGTCCGGGGACCACATACAGCACAAACTGACAAGTGGGCTGAACCTGTGAAACCTGCTTGACCTTCAGGATGGATATAGTGTGAAATGTCCTTAATTCAGATATTTTAGTTATTGTCTTTTTTTTTTCAAGTTTCAGATTTTCAATGTAGAAGTGTGGGAGTTTTACTTTGAAATATCTCTAAATACTGATGCAGTAAAAATACTTGAGTTTTGTGTCTATACGTTTTCAGACATGTCCTCAACATCAGGAATAATCTTTTTAATTTTTGTTTCCAGCAACCCAAAAAGAATAAAGACATTTCCCTCACAAGTCAGTGGTATTTACTTTTCACAGGTCTTCTGACTATAATCCAATTAATCGTATTTCTATAATGTTGTATGTATTTTATAACACCTTATTTTGAAAACCCAACATCGTCACACATCCTTCCGCTAACTTTGCTAAGTCTGTCATTAGCTCCCCCCAACAGCTCAATCTGGGCTGTTTGAAGGCATTATTCACTGTAGCTCATATTAATTTCAGTATATGGATGCACTAAAGTTGTAGCCTTAGCTAGGGTTGTCTCCCGTCCCTTAAAATATGGAATTTAATTTTAAGATTAAATAGTGTGTCCCGTTTTGAATCAATACGGGACGGGGTTTGTCCTGTATATCCGAGTTGTCTTGAATGCATCATCATCCCGCCAGTGTTCCGTGAAGACCCGCCCTTCTCTGCTCCTGATTTGCCAGTATATGATAAACAATGGCTGAGGCCACACCTCCTCATCGAAAAACGAAAGCAGATGCAGAGGTGTCGGGCTAGACTACTATTATGAGTTGTCCGACAATGCCACCTAGGGTTTAAAGAGTCTAGGGACTCTAGAGGATTAAAGTAAGCACCTTTTTTTTTTTTTTTTTTAATAAAGCCAGGTTCTCAAGGGAGAGCAGTGTAAGGTTCACCAAGGATAAAGACAGCATCAGGCAGACAATAATTTATTTTACATATGCACGAATAAAAGCCGCAAATTGTCCGTTAAAAAAACCAAGGGACTAAATATACTTTTTTAGCAGGTCTGGCACTAAAATGCAAAATAAAAACAGTTAAAACATAGTCAGTGAAACACAATAAAATAGCCTTAGGCTACACCATAAAAGCTAAACAGAGGACCCAGAATGATAAAAAAAAAAAAAAAGTAATAAAATGTATTATTACAAGTCACTCAATGGCTGGGTCAGAACACCGCATAGTCCAATGTCCCTAGGATGGCCACACAGTCCAAATGGTGTCATTTGCTACCAATCCATCCTCTGACTGCTACCCGGCGGTCCAACCGGTCGTCACCCGCCACTGCGACTGTCTCGCGTCACTGCTCCTGAGCGTGGCTTTGTAATCCTACCGGTAGAAGAGACTGGGCAGTGCACGGCTCACAAAACACAGGCATACGTCACAGTTACTACTGTTACTGCCACTGCACTTATCTATAGTGCAGGAAGTCACCGCTAGCTCGGTATTAGCTTTTAGCACAACTGTTGTATCAGAGAACTGCGTTACTCACACGTCCGGGCTGAGGCTCCAGCCCCTGCCCGACAACCGCAGTATCTGGCTGTAGATACAACAGTGGGTCTACTCGTTCCCAGCCCACTCTCCCGACCTGACGAAACACCCTGTCATCCCGCTGCCGCCGCTGCCGTAGCTGTGTCGTCTCATGTCTCTCTCGTGCCCCGGTTTGGCGTCCTCTCCACCTTACAAGCAGCTCCGCTCAGCTTCCGGCTCATGCATTGGTTCCCCTGGCGCCCGCCCTCAGCTGCAGATTCGCTGCCACCTGCTGTCCATCGTTCTTTTCAATCAAGCAATTACCTTATTAAGTCCACTGAGGTGTGCACTACGGCAGGAAAGACACTACATAAAAAGCTACAGTCCAACTCAGTTTAACATACCCAAAATCAAAACACAGCAACTAATAAATATACATGCAAGATATGGGAAAAATTAATTACACATGCAAACATAATGAAGAAACAAACTAATAACAAATATATATGCAACAAATAATCAAATAAAATACTCTGCCATGCGACAGAGGTACAGAAAAGAGTGGGAAAACTCAAACCCTTGGCTTGACAGTGTAAATAATTTCATATATTGTTATTTGCACACCCAGAGTTTATTTTGTGGTTCTTTCATTTGGTCTTATAATATCAATATGAAAAGTAATGCATGGTGGCACAAGGAGCATAACTATCTTGAGATTATTTTTTTTTAAAAAAAGATTATTCCTTTGTAGAAGTCCATCTTTTCTCCTGCACTATGTTTTATTTTTCAAATTGATGTTTTACATGTCAAAGCAGTTGTTTAATTTACAGTTAATAAGTTATGAGAGTATGACATCTATGGTACTTGAAGTAAATAGAGATGAAACAGTGTAATGTGTGTCTCTTACATTATTGTTATAGCTGCCTTTCTACTACAGTTTTGTGCTTACATATTTTATTTAGAGTCCTTTTTTAAGTCTTTCTCACCACTGCCACACCACAGGGCCTGTCGGGGTCATCGGCCCGAGGAGTGCTACGGGGGCCGTCCTTTATTTTGCTTCATAGAAGGTGGCAACCCTAGCCGTAGCTGATGTGACCATGGAGATTAGACTGACTGCTGGCTTGACCCCACTTCATTCTGCTACTTTACTAACTGTTTTGACAGCTGTCAGCAGCAGAATTATATTAGACTTCTAATGAAATGGAATAATTGTTTGAGATATGAAATACAATGAAAAATTGAAAGACATACATACAATGAAATACAATGTAAGCAATGTATTTCATAGTTTGCTACTATAACTGTGAGCACACCGCTTGACTCACTGTCTCAGCTGTGATGCGCACCTCCAAGCCGGTGCTGAGAGTCTCGTAACAATGAGACTGCCTTCATTTCCCATCATGCCTGTCTAGTACTGATCTAGTGTTTATTTTGTAGTTTTAAGTTTTCTGTTAGGCCTATATGCTCCAGAATGCAAATTTGACTTTGTATTAATACAAAATGAACTTCATGGCTTGCTGTTTTTTAGTCCCCTTCCCAAACAGTATGAAAAAAGTATGGTGGTCATTTGACATCTGTTAAAATATACCAGATAGTACTCAGTTAATAGAGATAGGAGATACTGTATATGTTATGGACTGCCATGTTAGTTTTCCACACACTAACTGACTGCTGATATGAGACTTGATACATGAATGAGAAATGGTAGAGTGACATAGCTACCAGAGTAGCTAAAACTGTGAGCAGTTTTGCCAACCACTTGGCATGTCAAAGCTGTGGTAGCAGACAGTAAAGGACCTAGCACATTCAGCGCCCTGGTCAGACTTATAATATCTATATTATAACTAAGTAAACAAACAATAGTAGTGCACCACATGACAATGATAGTATATGCACATTTCATTTTCTTCTTTATTTTTTTCTCATTCAAATCTCTCCACATACTCTCCGCTCCATCATACCCACCAGTGCACTAGCATGCTCTGACAGTGACAATCACTCACTGAGGAGCATATTAAGGTAATCTGCACAGAGTACTGCAGTGATGACATTTATCTGTAGGCAGACACAGAAATTAGCATCACCCTGGTTTAAAAAAAAACCAAAAAGCCTATGCGATTTTCCATTGGATTTTGGATTATTGCAAAATATAACCTCTGAGCCAGACAAATGTTTATGTTACTTAAATGTTTTGTTCAGCAAGATAATCCTCACAGATGAACACAGTTTTTATGATTTTTGAAGCATAAATGCATTTGCCAAAAGTAAAAAGGCTATAAAAGAACTATGCCACAGTCACACGACTTGATGTCTCCACCACAGCATGGCTGTAAAGCTGTGTTTGTCTTCTTTAAGACACATAAAAGCTTCAAAATTCACAGTGGGGTATTTACTATTCTACGTATTTTATGTTGTAAAACAAGTTGTGAATGTCTCTTAACCTTGTGTTAACCACAGATAAGCTTTGCTCATGTTTTTCATCCCTTTCAAATGAACAGGATTTGATGTGGAAATGTCAGTCGAATTAGACAAGGAATACACAGCAGAATTGAATGATGCAACAAGTGCAACATACAAGGATCTTGAAAGAAGGATTAATGCAGTGGTAAGTATGCTTATAACATCATATCCACATGTAACTTATATTTTGAGTTCTTCATGTTGCAAAGCAAATAATAATAATCATCTTCTCTGTCCCACAGTTAGAGAAGCAGTATGAAGGACTCACAGGGTTTATCGATGTTTCTGTGAGCAGATTCAGGTATGGTAATTCTGCCACTTAAAACATTTGCAGGCAGGAATGTGTACACCTTTTACACCACAACTCTGGCTTCTGTGTTTATCTTACAGAGAAGGAAGCATAATCACAGACTTTGTTGTTGAGACAACTGAAGTTATTGCGGATGAAGTGGCTGAAGCAAATGGAAAACTCCGTGAAGCAATGCAGCCCATTGCCACTGTCATTGGCCCAGTTACTGCATCATACAACAGTAAGTTCAAACAATAATAGGTCAAAACCTAGTTCATAGCTGGACCGTGCATTAAAGGAGGACTATTAATTTGAAACAGTAAGTGATAAACTCAGTCATGGACTTATGCCATAACTTTTCATTGACAGAGCTGGCCCTGTTGTTATAGTCCAGCACAAAATTTCATGTAGACTTAAGTACATGTTAAAATGAAGAACAGTACACTTGGACATAGCAAAAGGGAGCTGCTTTCTCTGGTGATAAACCCACTGATCAGCTATTTTTTGCTCAGTTTAACACAACCCTCCCCCCCTAGGGATGTACGTCCCCACGTAACTGGTGGAGGCTGTGCAGGCTTCGGCCACTATTGGAGCCAAGTTCCACCTATAGCAACAATTTGAAAAATGTCCGGTGGGTGCTGATTACCAAAAGAAGAATTTTGTAATTGTGGTGGCACCCGTTTTGACAGTGTAACATGTAATATGAACTTAAGTTTCCATCATCGTGTTATTTCCACTCTTTCCTCTGTGGTGGCACCCATTCTATGGTTCTGACCGGCTAATAAGGTTTAAATAAATTCAAGGTTTATGTCATACTGTTCCTCAAACAAATTGATGAGGTGATCCTCTTTTTCCTCTGTCCAAAACTGTCATTTCAACCGTGACTGACTAGTTAGCTAGTTGGCTTGCTAATTCCACCATGCTTGAGCACTAACGTTACAGTTGTTACAGAAGATAAGCCAAACAAAGTTGTCACTCATCTGAATATAGCAGCATGCTTTCCTACGTTGTGGCAAGAGTGTTTTGATGAAGCACTAAGTTGTCAAGTTTTACTCATGTAGCAGCTGGCTAATTAGCTATCTTGCTTGCTGATTCCACCATGCTATTATGCTACACTGGTTTAAGAGTGGAATACACTGTACACGGCTCTGTCACCTTGTCAGCACCAATTTAGTTTGAAGGAACAATGATGAATGGGGAAACACTAACACTTACATCATCACATCACAACCATTCATTCATTCATTTTTTATAACCACTTGATACTCTTGAGGGTTGCAGGGGGGGCTGGAGCCTATCCCAGCTGACATTGGGCAAAGGCAGGGTACACCCTGGACAGGTCGCCAGACTATCGCAGGGCACATCACAACCAATGATGTAATTTATCAGCCACTCAGCCACTCAGCCACTCAGCGATGGACAGATTTTTGTGTTTATAGGGATGGCCTTACATTCGTTGGTCCAGCCAAAAATACAGTAAATAATTACTTATTGTTCCACTTGACCAAATTCCAAAGTGATCTCTTTGACTTTGTTCACAGGTACAACTACAATCAGCTTTCCAAGCCTTACTTATACTGGAAACACCATGTTGCTGACGTGTGGGCCTCCTGAAAACGTTAATGTAGGACTAATCTCTGGTTCTGTGTGGAAATTTCAAGGGAGGGAAATTAAAGAGAGTGGAAGGCTTGAAGTAACTACTTCTAGCATGAAGTCTGTGCTTACAGTTAAGAATGTCATCCTTGCTGATATTGGTAAGTCAAAGATAGCTGAGTTTGTTAACTAATAAGAAATCAGTAACTATGAAATCAGTATAAATTTGAGCAACGTAGTAGTTCCCCAAGTATACACCATATAAGGCATATACATTCCCTGATACTGTGTAGTGAGATCAGATATCATAAATTAGAACTGTATTAATTTTATGTTTCATCAGAATATTGTGAAAGAAAATTAATGTTGTCTTTTCCCAACCTGTTCTCATTCCAAAATCGTCAAACACTGACACTTGGTAAGTGATTTTGGTGCCAGACACCCACAAAAAAAAAGGCATCCTTTTGCAGTGGGCCAGGAGCTGAAATTCAGGAAATTCAGTCTGCAAATCTACACAGCATTTCAGTAAACTAGGAGAAGGGCAATTAGCTTGATCTAACTTACTGATACTAATAGAGAGTTCCTGCAGTTTGGAATTATGGGTTTTAGTTAAATGTGCAGAGTAGGAAATGATTTGACCCCAAAGGCATGCATATAATGATTCCCACAACAAAGAACAGGAGACAGGCTCTGTCTCATTCTGATTAATAGTGATTAAGTCATCAATTGAGGCTGCAATTGAATTTATAATTCGACAGAAACAAAGTGTTGAACCTCCATAATGCTGAGTGTAGGGGTTGTGGAGCTTACTGAATATCTAAAGAAAGAGGGCCATGGTCAGAAATAAAAATAGGATGGTATTTAACAGTCAACACTTTGGAAATTAATTTGGCATCAATGAAAAATAGTCAATCTCAGAAAATCTCATATACATATCTGAGAAAAGAAGGAATATTCTGTAGCATGGGGGTTACAGAATCTCCAGGGATCAATGAAACCGTTCTTAGACATGAAATCATAAATTGATCTTGACATCAATGAGGAGGTCAGATTTTGGGGATTGGAGCGGTCCAGACTGGGATCAATTACACAATTTATGTTCCTTCCAGATATAAGAAAGTTATTATTTAATGATGGTAGACATTCAAACATCTTAGTACAGAAGTGTCAGTCATCGAAATATAAATGAATAAAACAGGAACCTGAAAAATTGTACCTGAAACGATTAAATATTTGCTATTTTTATGAGATACTTTTAGAGGTTGAGAACTGTACTGATTCACCAATTACGATAGCAACCCCTCTGGCTTTAGAAATGAAATTTGAGTGAAACATAGGGACATTTTAATCTGGCCTGGTCTTTGATGCGCATATGGGTTCCCTGCAGAAACACTAGGCCAGCTTTAAGACGTTTCAACTGAGCAAATACCCTCAATTTCTTAAAAGGGCTCCCCATACCTATAATTTTCTAGCTAACAAACCTCATGGTGGAGCCACCTTGTGGAATCCCTGATATTAGTGGCCATCTGTTGAGTAGTTGAATATAACAAGAGAATGAAACCTGGGAGTCAAATCCTCAACAGGCATGTTTTTGACTTAGTGATACTATTTGAGCTTTGTGGGCTCCTGCAAACTTAACAAAGATAAAACAACAAGGCACAAAACAAATCCACTTCAACATCAACATCACATAACTTGGTGTGTGGAAAAAAAGAGTTAGTAGTAATCTATTAACTCAATTCATCTTTTCTCTGTTCTTTTACTTTTACTAATAAATTCCCTGGCATCTTCTGGTGATTTAAACTGCTTTTTTTTTTTTGACACCATCGTGTAACATGGAGGTGGCCGGGTGTAGCAGGCTGAATCGTATCCCTGTAATCTTATGGAGCTGGTGGCAAATGTCACTGAATGCCGCTTGGGCCCAGGCCGTCTTTGTAGTGTGATCAGGGAAGATAGAGATGACCATATCTCCCAACTTCACCTGTTTCTGGGCTCTGGCACATGGCAAAATGTCAACACAGACCATATGATAATACAGTCGGGCGATTATGGGGTGAGGACACTCACCAGGTTTCGGCTTCGGCTGGAGAGTGCGATGGGCACGTTCCAAGAGGGGCGCCTTCTCAGGTTTAAGCGCCTCCTTGAGCAAAGTGGAGATAGCCGCTGCAGTGGGAGAGCTGAAAGAGTCCTCAGGAATAACGCTATTTTTATATATCTCGCCTCCTCACCTCTTCAGACTGTTAGTGTGCTGCTGCTGCTATGCTAAGGATTACCCTGTGGGTGGTCTTGGGGTGGACATCACATCTCCTTTCCTGGACGTTCGGCCCTTGGTTGTAAGCTAACGATCGCTTTGTGCTACCATTCCCTGACCAGACCATGCCACCACTGTACTCCGCCACAGAACTTTGAAACTAAGACAACTACCAGCATCTGATCTTCATGAACTTTCTCATGAAAGCTGCAATACATCGCAAAAGCCATTCTCCACACAGAGGCTCTGGCCGTGTGTTTACATATAACTTCACGTCCCCTAACTCCGTTCCATCCCTGTGGTCCTGGAGCACCCCAACTTCCTCATTACGTTCTCACAAGCTATCACGAAGCAACATCACCTGAAACTGGCCTTGCTTAACACTAGCTTACTTAACAATAAAAGCCTTATTCTGAGTGAATTTATGGACTGGACTATTTCTCACTCAAGCCCTGATCACACAGGATGCATTTTGCAGGTTGCAAAATGCAAGGTGCGGGGCACTGCCTTTTTTTGTTTGTTTGTTTGTTTTTTGTTTTTTTTTCCAACCGAATGCCACTAGTAAAATCAAATCCTGCTGCCTCTTTTTGTTGTTGCCAAGCAACCACCCCATCACCTCCTAATATTACCATGTCATCAATGTACTGTTTATTTATTTATTTTACAGTTATTAGCATCTAGTCCCAATTTTTTTTAGGCAGAGGGTGCTTTCTCTAGCCCTGGTTGAGGGTTAAGGGTTTCAGTTAATAGTTTGTTGGCTGCAAGAAAAACCGAGATCTGTGTGGGTACACAAGACCCTAAAAAAAGAGGGTGGATCACAGAGAGTACCACCAGTTCGTTCAGGAACTTTGCCTTGATGATGGCCGTATACAGGGATATTTTAGGATGACTCAGGGGCAGTTTGACAACCTGCTGTCTATCATCAGGCTGTATATACTGCACTGCATGTCATGTAATTATTCATGGAAGTTTACGCGAGTTCTGGTCAGTATTGTTGTCATTGTTGTCATATTTTGGCTTTTATTTATCATTTATTATTTATTGTTTGTTTTACAGTATTGTTGTTTGTGTAGATTGTTTTATATAGTTTACTTGATTTTTTTTCCTTCTTGCACCATCAGAGGCAGCTGTTTTAATTTCGTCATACACATGTTGAATGATGACAATAAAGGTCTTTCTATTCTATTCTATAGCTCTAGGTATCCAGCAACCACTACCACCAATTTCTCCTCCGTTGTTTGCCAGCTGTAAACTTGTTGTCATGACCACCACAGAAGGCCCACCTCTCAAATCATCCAATTGGACAATGACAAAAAGGCAGAGATAACATGAGGCATTTTTCTGCTCGGAGCTCTAAATTTTTTCAACTCGAGGCATTCAGAGTGCTCCAGGCGCTTAGAGCACAGAAATGCAAGGCGGTCTCAATGCAAAAACCGCGAGCAAAAAGCAGACCCCAGCTGCTAAAATGCATCCTGTGTGATCAGGGCCTCAATTAGACCACACCTGCAGGATGCGCATACATTGATCAATCTCGCCTTGAGGGGCAGGGTGGTGGTGTTGTTGCTGTTTATAGAAAGGACTTAAAAACAACCACCATCCCCATTCCTCCCGCTAATTCATTTGAACACGTCGCCCTCAAAATTCCTGGTCCTACTCCATTAGTCACAGCCATTATCTACTGCCCCCCAATCAAAACTCCTCTTTTCTATCAGACCTCTCTAATTGTCTGACCCAGCTTACGTGCCATCTCACCTTCCATTCTCCTCTGTGATTTTAATTTACACATTGATGACACTGACTGTAAATCTGCCATCGATTTCCTGGAAGTGCTGCAATCTCTCAACTTCATACAACATGTCAATGTCCCCACTCACAGCTGCAGTCACATCTTGGACATAGTTTGCTACACTGGTCTTACAATACATCACCTTTCCAGCCTCAACCTTCATATATCTGACCACTTCGCAACCATCTTGGACACTGACATCCCTATCCCTATACCAAAAGAAAAACGCAAAATATCTTTTAGAAATCTGAAATCCATGTCCCCCTCAGCTTTCTTAGCCTCTCTTGCCAGTGTCTGCCTCTACTCCCCCACTGTCTGGTCATCCCTCTGACCTGACACCTGAACTCCACCAAATGAAATGCCGTAAGCACCATCAGCTCGAAAGACTCTTCAAGAAAAACAGTTTAACAGTACATCTCCAAATCTATACAGACTATCTTCAGCAATACAAAACTGCTCTCACTACAGCCCGGTCCACCTCCTACTCACAGCTCATGTACTCTGGCTCCACCAATCCCAAGGCTCTCTTTCCACCATAAACAAACTTCTCAAACCCTGTGACAACACCTCCACATTCTTCACAGTTAACATGTGTAGCACCTTCCTCTGATTCGTCCAGAAAAAAAAATTGACTCCACCTACAGCAGTCTGTCCACTGCCCCCTTCACTACTCAGCCTCTGACTCTCCCCTTTCTGTCAAAAATACTGGAACGTGCTCTTGCCTCGCCCACCTCTCCTCCAATGACCTTTTTGATTTCTATCTGGCTTCCACAGCACTGAAACCAGCTAAAACTGAGCTGGGAAAAATCTGACATCGGTCCCAAATCTCTCACAAAAACCTCTCACAACTTCTGCCTCACCACTGACAATTCCACTCTGCATTCCTCCCTGCACACCCGCAACCACCTGTTATTTTTGCACAACCGCTCTTTCGAAAAACATGTCAATCAAATCACCAGTACTGCCTTCTTCCACCAAAAAAAAAAAAACATAGGTCATCTCCGCCCATCACTCCATCCATGCCTTCATCATATCCAGAATTGACTACTGCAGCAGCATTTATTATGGTACACCATTCAAGCTCCAATACATCCAGAACTCTGCTGGTCCCTCTGCTCACCCATTCCCGCTACTGCAGTCACATCACCCATGTCCTTTAGAACCTCCACTTCCTGTCCCACAACACATCCAATTCAAAACCCCTCTCCTCACTTACAAAGCCCTTCATAACCAGGCCCCCTCCTACCTCACTGGCCTACTGCACTGACACACTCCTTCCCGCAATCTCCGCTCCTCTGATGCCAATCTCCTGACTCCACCACTCAAGACCAAGCACTGGACCTGGGGCAACAGAGCCTTCTCCATAGCTGCCCCCTCCCTTTGGAACACAAGACTGCACTGACCTTTCCTGGTTCAAATGACTCATCAAAACTCATCTTTTCAAAATGGCTTTTAATATGTGCATGATGTTGTGTGTATTTTATTGTAGTCTATTTTATGATCGTTTTTAACTAATGTGAAACTAAAAAGCCATGAAAAGCACTCTATAAATATATTATTATTATTATTATTAGTGTATCAAAATATTTAGTCACAGCTGTGACTAAATATTGAAATACGAAATATGAAAATATGAAAGTGAAATATGTAATGCATGTTGGCAATTTTATTTTTTCTTTATTTTACAGGATAACACTGCAGTCATTAATACTTGTTTCTTTTAATCACAGGACATTATGAATGTACTCTGATGGGTGGAGTCATAAATTTCCACCAAAATGGAGATATAACAAGAAATGAAATCAGACCAGCTCCCATTGTACGACTACAGAGTAGAGTTAATGTTAAATGTGACGGGACAGAGGAACAAAAACCACTTCAGTGTTGCGTACAGTACCCCTATAAGGTCAGGTGGTTTTTAGACTCAACTGATTTACCCTTAGGTAAGTGGAAACTCCTCAGGATGACCACACTGAAAAACCAGACACAGCTATTAACAGTTTCTTAATAACAGCATTATTAAATGTTTACAGATGTCACTGTCACTACTAATAATGGAGAAACCTACTGCATCACGCATGATTACCAGCTACAGAGCTGCAGCGAGTCACAGTCAATACAGTTTACTTGTAAAGTAGATGACCCTGAGGGTTATGAAAAGACGACAAATATGATCATTTTCAGAGAGGGTAAGAGCAATATTTGAAGTGTGACAGCACTGTTCATTTGCTATTTTTTACCATCTTTTGTGTAATATTAATTGATTATTTAATTCTTAAGAATTTAAATGTAAGGATCCACCATATGGGACTGGACGAGTGAACGACATATCAACCATAGGATGTGACAATGGTCAAGAGGGGAGCAGGACTGCTGTCTGTCAGGAAACAGGAGAGTGGAACATTTTGGAGGACACCTGCATCATAACACAAATCAAGGAATTATTAATTGATTCAGAGGTAGGTGATCAGCTGATACACAGTTTCGGTGCTAAATTTAAGCGTTTTTTTTTTACCACTCCAGAATGAATGGAAATGGTAGTGTCATAGTGATGTCCATTTTGTCTGGGTTTGTGAATCCACAAGAGTCTCAGCTTTCCAGTCATACCTAATTTATGCAATTTCATGACTGTTAAGTGACCTTGGGCAACAACCCAACTTGTCAAATACCACTGCTTTTGTTGGTAGATGTTATCGTTAGATATGGATGGAGAGAGTCATAGTTTAAGGCTGTATGATACACTGGGCTGCGTCACTTTGTAGCACCACCTGTAGAATAAAGACAGACATCCAAAACAGACACAGGAAGGTACACAGCGTGTTATATTTTGATGTTTAGGTTCACTGGGATGAGAATGGGTTGTGTGTGATGTGCAGCTCTGATATGCACTGTACTGAGCTGCAGGTATCATTTTAATTATTATTTTATGATACAATATTCATGTAAATTATACAACCTACAATGCACACTTTAAAATAATTAAGCAGTTTGGATATATTTTACAGCCAAATATTTCTGCACCAAGAAAACGTTGTTATATATATATATATATATATATA